TTAAGTAAGCAGTACTGTATTATTTGTCTTGGAAATAATTTCTTACTTAAAAGAAATCTTAACAGAAGTTTTAATTAAATAACTTCAATATTTCTCATTATAAAAAAAATAATTACTAACCTTACTTAGTTGAATGTAGAAAAATAATATTTTTGTGATATAGGATGATGATGAAGCAGTTATAATGATGAATTCTTAGACTTGTCGATGTGATAAATGCAATATAAATATATGATTGAAAGTTAAATGAGAAAGATTTTGAGTTTAATGGAATATATCTGAAAGTTAATTAAATCAACTATAATAGTTTGTTTCTTAAAATATTTAGTAATTGACTAGACAAGATAGACTTTCAATATTACTAACCTGTTTACTAAGCTTGTTAGGTTTCATGAGTTGTCAAGATTCAAACATCATTCATTAAATTAGCGAAAAATCAACTTGAGTTTTGAATGAAATTTTAAAAGAATCGAATTAATTTCAAAAGACGAAAAATAATGATTTGAAGGTTGTTTAATTGTTATAGAATTTAACTTTGTAACAAACTATTGTTAAAGAAAATGCAAAGATTAACGAACATAGCAATTGAATTGACCACCAAAAAGTAATTTTCCTAAGTTTAGAAATCAAATTGAAATAAATCAGTCTATGTCAAGATATTTTTCATTCATATCCAATTAAGAAATCAAAAGAGAGAATAAAAGTAAAGAAAAGCCTGTTTTCTTCCAAATATCCATAAATAACCCAGAGAATAAAAAGAAATTGTTTCATTGCTGCGTGACGACAATCACATGAAACAAAAAGAAGAAGAAAATGAAAAATTGTTTGGAAAAGCGGAAATGAAGACGAGAAGCGGAAGAGAGAAGAAAGAATTGAATAGAAACTTATTTTTTTGTTCATTCATCTGACCTCGGAGAATTGAATTAAATTAAGATGAAATAAAAATAAAATTTATCTTCTCATATAGCATGTTATATAGGTGTATCAATGAAAAAAACAGAATAATAATAAATTTGCAATCAAAGCATTAAATGAAAAGCAACAAATTTCCTTTTTTTTCTTAAAAATCAATAAAAAGAGTATTGAGTGGAATATAAAAGAAACTTTTTAATGTTTTATCAATTGAATTTGTTTTACTTTCCTCACTTCTTTTTGTTTCCATCTTCGTTTACTTACAGATTAATCTTGCAGAAAAAAAATTCATCTCATCTTGTTTTCTTTGGACTTGTTCCACTTTTTTTTGCAGGGATGATGGCTCATTTATTATCGAAATTAAATTTTTGTTTTCTTTGTTCTCATTCTTGTTAAACTTCACACAAGATTTCCTGAAGCATCTATTGAATTTGTAAGCAAGGATGAACTAGGAAATGATAACAAAGGAATTAATCATCATTGAAGAATTTTACAATTGTTGGATCAGTTTTGAATCATTTTATGGGTCAATGCATTACATTTTGTCCTTTTTACAATAGAAAAAGTTGAAGGAAGAACTGCAAAGTTTTAAACAAAGCTCGAAGTTGGGTTGAGTTGACTACAACTGTAGCAACGTTGAACTTTGAATTTTAAGAAATCTTACAGATATGAGAGAAGAGCGTTAGCTATCCGCTCTCTCCCACACAGTGTTTCTTAACATGGATGATGCATGCTATTGTGTTTCCAGCCAAACAATTTAAAAAAGCACTGTGTCAAATAAAAGAAAGCAACTCTAAGAATCCACTTAATTGTGATTTTAAGTAAAAATTCTGAAAATTAAAGCTTATTTCTATAAAAGCAATCATTAAAGAATATCAAAAGCAAATATAATCCTGATATAAGCATAAATTTTTATCATGGCATGTAACTGACAGTAACATTATCCTCGTACACAATAGCATTTTGAATCCATTTTTACAACTGACGGATTTATTAATAGTGTAGCAAGCAGCTGATATTACATGCAAAAAACTCAACGATATCAACACCTACTGTCAATCTACAGTACAACAACTACATCCTATGCTGAGTGGTTGTCATGATGATGTGGAAAAGATACACGAACACAGAATTTTCAGAATAATAAAACTAAAAGAATTCAGTCACTTTGCCATATCATTTATCGATGATCCGAAGTTGCTTATAAAAAATTCAAACTCAAAACTTTTAAAAGATTCATAATCTGATTTGTATATCCCATCCATATGCATAAAAACAACAAAACCAATTTAATAAGAAGCTTGTGGAACTTTCTACTTTCCTATCTAATCCATAATCCACCCAATCTACAATGAAAGTCAGTTTGAAAGGATTAAGTTTCACAACACAATTTATATTGCATAAATAATGCATTTTTAAAAACTTCCAGTAAGTTTCAGAGAAGAAGACTTATGTATGAACTCCGGAAGATGAGAAAGTATAAAGATTTAATGATAATCTATTAAACTTTATGTTATGGAAAGCTGAAAAAGGAGAACCGGAGATGAAAAATTGAAGTAAAATTCCATCTTTAGTTTATTACTCATTTATTACTCGGCATTATAACATATTAGGCAGATTAATCTTATAGACTTTTTTTTTGTTCTGCTTTCTTTCATTTCGAGCAGTAAAATACAAAATAAAAAGAATGAAATGAGATGGATATTTATGGCAATCTTCTTACCTATCTCATAGGAATTGACTTTGGAACTGGAGTAAATGAGGATTTGTGTTTTTTTCTTTAGACCTATTTAAACAATTTTTCATAATTCTGAGTGTCTTTTTCATTCGTAATGGTTACCTTAAATAATTAATAATACCTAAGATAAAAAAGTATATTTAATTTGATTAATTTCATGTCCATTTCTTTGGCATATTTTTAGACAAATAACATTTTTGCTTAATTACTTTCGTGGAAACTGAAAACGAGTGTGAATTGAGTCTGAAAATGATGTTTTCTTCTTTCATCACACATTTGCTTAATTAAGAAAAGTAGAAAGTTTTTTGCTCTTTAGTTCTATTGATTTTTATTGAAATCAACTAATCGAATCTAAGTGACAAAGCTTTTTTTGCTGAATAGGATAATGTAATTTCTTAATTAAGAGACTTTGCAGTTTGTAGATTCATTTTTTGTTTAATGAGAGATTTTCAAAACAGAAACTTACCTTAAAACTATTTTTGAGTCAAGTTTACGCGAACGAAGCTTTAAACACTAATCCACAAAATTCTTGTCTGAGCATGTACTACAAAGCACAGATTTAGCTCTTCAAAAAAAAAATTCAAATTTTTAAACGCACTCTTCACGCTGTTTTGTTTATGAAACAAAAAATCATTAATTATAGCATAAATATATGGTTTGAAGAATTTTAATCATTTGATGGGCCGATAAGTCGATAGTAACGGAACTAATGAAACAAACCTGAGCTCTCTACGATGTCTGGGTAAAAAGTTTTCTTTCGCCAGAGCAGCCGAACAAAGTGTATTATTAAGCTACCTTTTAGAAACAAGTTTCAAAAATGCGGTTAAAAATCCTAGACTCCCTGAAATAATGTAAATTCATTAACTTTAACAATTTTTAAACAGAAAGTTTCATTTTTGACACATTCTTTTATTTCGAGTGATAATTTTTAGACTAGAAGTTTAACATATTTATAACTTAAAATGAATAATACCTATCATAACTTTTTAAACATAAAATTAATATTTTTTTGCAAATAGCAACTTATATATTTACATACAGTATGATTTATGAACCATAAACCAATACATTATGATGGAAAACAAACTTGTAAGTACATAATAATTTCTATAAAGCTTTGCACAATTCCCTCATAAAACTCAATAAATTGTTTAAGATTGAGAAAATCCCAGAGGGCGAAGTCGACTCGAATTTTGTATGGAAAAGTCGACTTGAGTTCACTCGACTTCATACAAATTTCGAGTCGACTTCGCCCTCTGGAAAATCCATTATTTGACGGAAATAAATGCATCATTTTGTAATTGAAATTTTTCACTCAACATCATATAATGTCAACTTAAAATTGATGAAAAGGCTCAGAAGCTATACATATTATCATTATATATAATAAAACATTCTGTATAAACTTAAATAAATCTTGCAAGTTAAAGAACGGAAAGAAAAAAGTTTCTCGGAAATTTTTCATATCTTACGTAAATATGTAAACGCACTTGAAACCTCCTTATAAATATTTATATCAATTTATATGTATACATGTATATGGTTTTGGATCAAATAAGTAAGGGTGATATATATGGTATATCTAAGAGGCATGAGATCACATTTATAGACTCGATATACACAAAAATATGTTAAGGTGATGGTTATGGAGCACACACAATTTCACTCTCAATGACATTAATTTTTTACATTCACTTGCCTTTTCTGCATCATCATTTATTGTTGGATGCTCATACTACTTTACATCAAATCCATCCATCCAATTCAATTCAATTCAATTCATTCGTATACAGATGAGAATTCTTATTCTTATACATTGCAGCTTGCCTTTAATTTGTTTGTTGCTTGTCAAGTGGTAGAGCTTGAACTTTGGGAGAGAAGATGGACATCTTTGGATCAGATTTGTTAAATTTCCGTATATTGAGGTCCTTTCTCCTGATTGCATCACTGGTGCTATCTTCATGTACGTGTAAGGAGATATGAGAATGAAACAAGACAGATTAGACGATTACATGATGATATTTCCTTTCCTTTACTCGTATTACAAACGTCATCGTAACGTACATGAAATTGTTTCTCATTTTCTTAAAGCTTGTCTCCCGTTTGTTATTATTTAAAAACACAATTTGGCAGTTGCTTGTGTGTATGTGCTTGATGATGACTGACATAAGTATTACAAAATTTCATATTCGATAAAGTATTACAGATCTTGAAAAATCAGCTATATATCTAGGAACGTCAATAAAAGCTGCACAAGAATTCTTTCTAAGAAATCAGCACATCATGATGACTTGACATAGTAAATTGACGAAGAAAAAAAGATGAACTTGACCAAAAATAAAAAAAGTTTTTAATGCTTGATGGAGTTGACGTTGCTTGTCAACCTCGTGCCGCTATAACTCTTTGTCATTTTTCCATTTTGTCTATTCATCGATGTTGAATTGAGATCTAATGTTGATAAAGTTGTTGAACCAGTCGCTCTTGGCTGTAAACCTAAGCCCCGCAAGCGGACGCCTTTTTAGATAAAATTAAAAAAAAAAAAATAAAAGAAAATGAGAAAATAAAATAAGCATTATTTTATCAAGCAACCCTCACATTTGTTCAGCCGTTTGGGAACGAAAACAAAATTGGTAAATGACGCGTAATTTTTAGGATAAATAATGGTTCAGAAAAAAATAATTTTTTTCTTTGACAGGAACAACATTGATTTTAATATTGACAGCAAAAATTTACGCATTGCACATAAACTTTATGATACAACATCTAATTTAGACTTTTGGATTTTTTTAATTTTTAAGTTTTTTTTTTTTAATTTTGATGTCACTTTTGAATTCAAACATCATCTTTGGGGATCAAAATTGGGTAGATTTTTGGAATTTGAAACCAAATGATATTTTAAAGTTGGTCCTATAATTCTTTTTGGAAGAGTGGAAACAACCTCTCGATAAGTAAACACAACGAAGTTGGCACTATAAATCAAATCAGTTGATTTATGAGTGCTAAAGATTTGCGGACCAAGTTCACTATCTGTTGATCGCTTTTAGGAATCAAACTCAAATCGTCAAGAAAAGGTTTCAGTTTTCAGGTAAGTTGTATAATAACTCGACTACAGAAGCTAGCTTCTAATTTTTCTTAATTTGGATTGGCATTTACACTGCTTCATTTACTTTCATCCAGATTAAATGAATGTCAATGCTTTTCAATTATAACCTCCTTTACCAATACACTAGGAGGAGATTTTATAGCTCCTTTAAAAATGATTATCTTGACACCATAAATAAAACCTCATAACAACATCCGCCCAGTTCTTCCTGAATCATAGTTTTTCTTGGGTAAATTCAACTAAAACATTCATTTCCCGCTTCTTAATCACTTCCAATATTCTCTTGAACTTTCCTCTTATAAATTCAATTTTTCTCAAAAGACTTCAGTTTGAACTTTTTCCTTTCCTTTTTTCCAATTTCTATGCTTCTGCTTCTCATAACCGCGGGAGTCAATTGAGTCAATTGAGAGTGCGATAAAAATAAGCCAAAAATGAAAAAAAGAACGAAAAAGATGAAGAATTTTTCTTTACCAAAACTTTTCATTTTTCCTTTCGCTTTATTGCCTTTGGGAAATTGCTTATTGATTGGCAGTGAATTTAAAGTCTTTTGAAGACTCAATTGGCTTACTGGTGAGATAGAAAAATGGCTTAGAAGTGTCAAATTTGATTTCTTCTATTGGAAAATGTCATTAAAGCCTTGAGGTGTGCTTTTATTTGGAAATACTTTTATAAAATACTCAGAGGAGGCATGTTTGATTCTGATGAAGATTATTCAATTTTTGTTGATTGATATTCGCAGATGACATGAATTCAAAGAGGAATTTTTGATAATTTTGATTTAAATTTGAATTTTTATACAATTTTGATAACTTACGGTTGCAATTAGGGGGGTCTTCGATTTGAAAAGGCTGAACTTTTAAAATGAATTTTGACTTTTTGCATTGAAATAATTGGAAATCTAAATTTTCTGGACCAAAATATATTTTCAAATCGAGGACCCCTTGAGTAGTTCTTGAACAAAAATAGTTGAAAGCTGCTTTCTATATTCTAAGTACTTGATTTTTGGACAACACTTGCAATCAGAGCTAAAAAACGTCAGCAGGAACTAATGAACATTAAAATTGAATAGCTATGTCAAATATGTCTAGTGTAACGGTATCAGAAGCTGGTTTTTAGAGCAACTCATGACATCTTCCCCTTGAATAATAAGTTAATGAACTACACTTTAATGTTTATTGAAACTTTAAGGTGACAATTTCAAAGCATACACATAAAAGGTGGTCAATTCTTTAACTATGTTAGCATGTAAGCAATATTTGTGATAGTTCAAAGCTTAGCATCAAATATCTATTCCTTTTAATAAAATACTAAGTTTTTATTTAAACCGTGACTCAATTTGACAGTCACACAAAGTTCTTATATCAAGGGAATTCTGTTTGAGTTACAGATTTCGACTTCATAGTTTCGCTCGGGATTGTTTCAATCGTTTTCGAACTCTGTTTGCAATATTATGTTTCTTTTTGATTATTTTCCCAAATAATAATATTAAAGCCAAATTAAAGAACACATGGTTGTTAGGGCCTTTAAAAAAACTTGTTTGTTTAGTTTTAAAAGTCTGTAAGTGTTAATTTGTGTATAATTTTATTTTGAATGAGCACTACAAGTAGCCAATGTGTTTACCTGTTTATACCCGCTGTGTAAATCCCCATGTAGTGTAATCAAAGGCGCTATAACAACCTAATTAAAATAATAAGTTGGTAATAATAACATTCGTATATTGGAGATATGAGCTGAGCTGTTGCTAAGTTTTTATGAAATTCAACAACTCAAAGCTTTTCTTTTATCAGTGTTCAACTATAAAGTATGTCAACTAAAAACAAAAATCTCTTAATTCTAGACCATGACTAGTCTTATGTTCTTTTATATTCCAATAGTCAACAAGACTTCAAATTTTCTTTGATCTTCTCAAAAAGACATCCATGGAAATTTTGTATATATTTTTTAAATAGCATCGACAATAACAATTGCCATAGAGAATGAATACACAAATGAAAAATTCTATTTCGTGCCAAAGCACTTACTTTGAATATATTCCATCCACAAAATAAAAGAAAAATCTCACCTAATTTCTTACGGAATGCCACAAGCACTTTCTTTTTGAAGACGAAAATGAGAAATACTAAGACACCTTGAAGACAATTGAAAGTATCTGAGATGCTCCACCACAATGAATTTTGTTTGTAGACTGTGGCTACAATTTCTAGGAACCATGAGACTCCCATCACACAAAACAATTTTACGTTCATCATAAATCTAAAAAAAAAAATAGAAAATAAATGAAATCAAACTACAATTAGGTAAACTTTAAAAGCTTATATAATATATCAATATATCCAGCATTGAACTGTTGCATGAGAAAAAAAAAGCAATAGATGGAATAATAAAGATTTTTTACAGCTCATTGCTTTTTATGAGTTTATGCTTTTTTTGTGAAAAGCTCAATGTTAAGTACAGAACCAAAAATAAATTTTCTTCGTCCATAAAAAATTGAATTTTCATTGAGCAATTTCTTTTATTCGCTTTTCTACTGCTTCAATGTTTGAATATGGATAATGGCTAGATGTATTTAGTTGGAGAATTGTGCATTGGATGGAAAATTTGCAAATATGCATATTAAAAATAAAGGTGCATTTATTGAGCGCATTTGAAATGTCTTATATCTGGAAATTAACATATTATCAAGCTAGGGGTGCATCCTATGGCCTACTTTAGAATCTAAAATATATGAAACTGGTTAAAACCAGAATAAATGATTAGTAAATGACAGTGTAAGTGACTTGAGTGCCGTATCCATGATGGTAAACTAGATTTATCCCAGAACCCTCAATTTAAAGTTTTAAAACCATTGATCTTTTTGCGATAAACTAAATAAGACTGCATTTACTTCAATTCTATTAGATGTATCATTTGGAATAAGATTATGCATATATTGCTTGAAATTACAAAAGTTTAACAATATTCTTCTTATTAAATGTGAATGTGCTTATTAATTTAGATAGATGTTCATAACGCTTTGTTATTAAACTGGTAAAACTATGAATCAGGTTAAATATTCTAATTTTGTTTGAAGATAAAATGAAAAGTTTTTTGAAATATTTTTAATAAAATTATTTTTGGATTTTATGGAACCTCGAAACATCTTGAATTTTTGTATTTGAATTACAGACAGAATTTGTATTTGAAAGCTAGTTTTTTTGTGAGAATCGATTTGAAATCTAATTCATCAAGATAGTTTCAAGTGTTAAAGAAAATTTGTAAATTATTCAACATTTTCTGAAAGTCTTGTAACTTCTCAATAAGCTCCTACATATTTAACTTCGGCAAAGCTTCTTCACAAAAGAAGAAAATCTTTAAAAAAAACTTTTTTTAAATTCAAATGAAAAGAGGTTGTGTCTATTTGAAGTAGAAAAAAATGTTTTAAAAGCTTTAAACTTTCGAAAAAGCTTTTACAAGATAAACGAAATTAAATGTTCCATTAACTTTACAGATATTTTTTTTAATGAGCTTCGTAAAATTTTACGAGATTTCATGAAATCTCATTCTGAAAGCTTTCACAATAATTAAAAAAAAGTTTTATGATTGAAAACTATCTGGATATTAAAAAAAAACTTTCAAGTGAATGCTCAGAGCAGTGGGATCAATAATAAGTACAATTTTTTAGTATTGAGTCATCATGCAGTATGCTAATGATGGCATAATAAAGCTTCTGTTCTGTGAAATAAAATTTTAAACTCATAAAAATAAGGGAAAATAAAATTCACTCACATTGCTTTGTCAGCAACAAAAATTTTCTTCTTCTGTTGATCGCTATTATCACAACTTTGCATACGATGAATTTCTGCTTTAATGCGATTGCAATGGATGGCAGTGAGAATGAAGAGAATAAAATTTATGGATATTTGAATTCCAATAGGAAGTAAGAAGAAAATCAGATGTCCTGGTGATGATTGTTCTGCTCATGGGGATTATCAGTCATAAAAATATGTAGAATGAGAAGAGAAAGACAATAAAATAACAATAAATTGGATGTGGATTGTTGACATTTGAGTGCTGTTTGGAATTGCAAGCCTTTAGAATAATTTTTATTGAATTTTCTGAGCCTGGTGTTGTTGGGTCGTTTATTAATCTGTGTCAAGCTTGAGTAAGTGACTTAGCGAATTTTAATAAGAAGCATCACCTTCATAAGCTGATTCTGCTCAAAATGTGTCATGCCCTGAATAACAGCCCAGCAACAACACTGTTTATGATTCAATAAGACATGATCCCTTACTTTGAAAAATGCCCATAAAATGTCTTGAATAAAAAAAGTGAAATAAAAAAGAAGATAACATGGCATGCTATATATCAAGAATTGTAGATGTAACGACACCCTTATTGAATTTTATCCTTAAAAAAGGCATTTCGGAACCACTCAATTCACATTCCTAAAATACCACATGTCAATTTAAATTGATATGCATCGAAAAATTCACGAAAAAAATTCTAAAGGTACCCGCAACAAAAATTTTTTATATCTTCGATTACCCTCAAACCAGCATTTTGTGACTCCAATTTTTGGCTTAAATTTCTCCGGCAAAACATCGTAAATATTCATCATAGATGTAAATATCGTCTGTAATGCGTAAAGGTAGGTTAAAATATTGACGTTTGTGGTTGTGAACATGAAAAAAAAGGAAAAGTTTTCACATAAAATAGAATCTCGATCCATCACTTTGAATTGTTAATTGAGATGTAAGAGCCAAAAAGTTTATGTTTTTTTTTTCTTTCTTACCATCAGAAATGGAAAGCCCCAAGCGTAAAGTGAGTAATACACGAATCGCTTCATTTCCTTTGTTCTTCGAATGCCCTGTGATGCTCGAACGGATCTGGAAAGAAGTAAAGAAAAAAATTGTGAATCAAAAGAAGAAGTCATCAACAAAAGAAAATTTGATGATGTTATCGAACGCCGTTGGATTGAATTTCCTCTCTCATCTCATCATGAATTGAAAACAGTTTCAATGTGACCTTTTTTTTCTGTCGCGAAGAAAGTCAGCCAATAAGGAATAAAAAATTCGATGTATTTAAGGATATTTTGCGCTGAGGACACGTTTCGGTAATCTTTACTATGAATAAGCACGACTTTTTATATTGAAAAGTTTTCTTTTTATGCGAAAAAGTCTAAAAGGTAAAAAGAAGTTAATTACGGTTGATACTTTGTATGAGCGCATTTTAATAGAAAAAGTTGTGATGATAAGCTGATTTCGAAGTAATCTCAAACAAAGATTATAAAGCTTACTTTTGTTCTTTTGGAGAAATTTTCAGAAATGATGTTTCAAGAACTGATGAGAATGTTTCTTGATATACACTTTCCATGAGAAACCCGAGCAACAATTTGTGGCAGGGTCGGTCCTGAGACTGCCACCACACTTCCATGAAAAGATTAAAGCTTTTGTAAGGCAGTTTCACTTGGAACTGCCTTGGAACTGACTTATAGCGCCACGTGACTGTCTTGCGATTTTAATGCGACTGCCACGCAATTATCATGTAATTGCCTTGTCACTGCCATGTGGCTGTCTTGTGACTGCCATCTGACTGCTTTGTGGCTGCAATAGATCGGAAAAATGTCACTCGGGAAATATCAAAAAATATACTTAAGCATTTTAAATAGTGATCAGTCACCACAATGCTCTAAAAAATATTAGAAACAGTCCAAAAAAATCTTTCAGTCATACTAGAACACTTCAACACCCACAAATCGAATGTGCCAGAAAAGCTGTTGGAATTTTCTCATCCGAGAATTTTCTATTAAAATCCTTCAACTAAACATTTCCGTATTTCCATAGACTAGATGTTTTTGGGGTCTTATGAAATGATATCAAGCATAGACATAGATTTATATTCCGTATAAAAATATACCACGAGATACTTTATATGATTAAAATGTCATTTTTAGCAACTTTTCATGTCAACAGCTTTATTAACGGCGGGAAAATTTACGATTAGAAAAACTATCGCTCATAAAATTGTCGAACTGTAAGGAAAACGTTTTATTTTTATTGCTTCACATTCGTCTGTTTCATATTTTTTGACAGAATGTTTCACTTAAAAAAAACAAATAGATATGGACATGGAGACGCCATGAGAATGTGGTCTGAAAATTTATTTTTTGAGACGATAAAATAAGGAAAATGTTTAAAAGAATGAGGAAGGAAACATAATGCTTGAAAAATAAATTTATACTTGATAGGTACAACAAAGGCACAAAATGTGAATATATGTGAGAACTGAACCAGGAAATTGATCATTTCAGCAAAAAAAAAACATAAAAAGGTTTAAATAACAAAAATATTTTCCTCTAAAGTCAGCAGAAAGTTCTTATTCTCTTCCTCATTTCCTATGGACTGCTGATTTGATACATTTTCTTAAATGGAACAGACATTCATCCTTAAATCCAATTCCACTTCCTTTTTAAAGATTTATCATCATGCTTAAATAACTGAAAGCATTTTTTTTTTTCGTCTAGCTTGAATTTTGTCTCGTATCAGCATATGATCTATGTTTACATCTTTTCCTGCTTATTGCTTCCCTTCGTTGTAAGTATCAAAGGAAAAAGGGAGTGTTCTGAGGTTTTGGGTAACTCTGTTCTCTCTTTTAACTAAGTTCGTGAGGATCAACCAACATTTGTAAGAAGATGTGACGCTTATCCTCTTTTTAACCTTTTGAAATAGTAAAGATGTTTAGTTCTTCAATAGGTTTATGCTGATGGATCATGAAAAAGGATCGAGAACAAGATTAGTGAGTCTTCATTGGTTAAACCTTTGAAAGCACTTGAACATAAATATCAGAATCTACAAAAACCCAACGCAATCCATCAGCTAGTTCGAATTTTCAAAGTTTTCTTTCTTAATTAAAAAATTAAAAGCTAGAATTTAAACATAATTAGCAAACGGTAGCAAACTATCTTACTGCTTTACCTGACCACCTTGAAGTCAACCTTCAGAATCACATCTGTGCGAAAACATCTCTCAAGTTTGATAAATTACATTAAAATAATCTGATTACTTTGAATGAATGAAATAGTTCTTGTGCTTCATCCATCTCTTTTCAAGACAAAGAATCTCGAAATATTTCTGAGATGGAATTAAATTCCTTCTTTAGAATCCGAAAAATACTTTTCTTTTTATTTACATTTCCATAAAACATTTTAATATCATCCGATTGTAATTTATCATTTTATTTCAATATTAAAATTTTATACTGTACGGATTCATTAATATTGATTACACTTCCGCAATAAATTACTGTATTTTGAATTATTTTAGCATTAAAAGCTCAAGCTAATGAATTTCATCTCGATGCGCTATTCATTTAATTACAATTGCGAGTGCTCGTAAAGTAATAAGGATATTAATGATACTTTGTGAGCTTTTGTTAATGTATTTTATAAATGCTCGCATGAGAGCTGAATTGATGCTGTTGTGAACGTGCGTTTGGTTTTTTGGAAGTTTTGACTTAACAGTGAATTCTAATTTAAAGTGAGATTGTCTTTCAGGAGGTTGAAGATTGTGTAATGTAGACACTAAGGTCTCAATAGTCTAGACCTTAGACCAGTGTTGTGGACAGACAAGTAACTACTTATGGATGAAACTGGTAATAGAGATAGAATTATATTTACAGATGGTGACAAGTCGATCTAGAGATAGAGAGTAAGAGTTCCAATTTAATCATTGGGTTGTCATAGTCTGTTTTATATTCTGCTAATCACTATTCGCACGATTAAACCTACGTCAATTGATATTTGTGAATTTTTGAAAAAATACCCCAAGTGGTTCTTAGGAAGTAATTGGATTTATTTACGCATGTGAATATGTTTTAAACTTTATATTTTTAGAAGAGGTGTGTCTCAATTTGAAAACGTGGAGTTGAAGTTTGAAATGAATATATCCAAGTTGCAATTAATTTATTTTATGTGAAGTTTCGTAATGGAAACTGAAGAGTCAATTTGATCATTAGTAGTTGAATAACTCACAAAAAATGTCAATTTTGAATTATAAATTAGCTATTTCTATACTAAGTCATACATAACTGGTCTTCAAACTTTCGTGTAGTAATGAAGTTAATAAATAGCTCTATTTTTGGTCCAAAAAGATGATTGTTCTTCACCTTCATCTTCAAGGTTTATTGCATTCGTATCTGATTGATACGAACAAATTAATTGTGATCAAAAAAAGGTTCGACTGTGTAGAACGAACTCCTATTTTTATAGTTTAAATTTTAAAGTTTAATATTCCATTTTTGTAATCATACTCATATAAGCTCTCGAAAAGCTACATATTGCACTATCGAACACAAGTTTTACTGTACTTAACCTCATAAGATATTTTAAGCCCTCATTTTTAGCCATAAATTACAATGAATAGAAACAGAAAAAACCGTGAATAAATTTCAGAAGCAGAACAACAATAAAGATATTCATCTGCACCAACGAAAAAAAAAACTGAGAAGTATGAAAAAATACCCTCAAAACATTAATTATCACAATAAATCTTTAATTTTTTTAAAAGTCATCGAACCATTAATCAGGTTTATGACAATAAAATACGAGCACGTGGATTTAAAACGGTGAAGTTTGTAGAAGCTAGTAATCCAAATCCCAAAGATAATTTTTTTGTTTGCTAATTTTGTCCCAAATAACACTTTTCTGTTAAAAGCTCATCCTAGTTGATGATGATATATTCATATTTCATGCTTTATAATTTAGCTATGTTCATGGTAATCTCATGTGTACAATTAATATCTATAAAACCTCGCAAAGTTTTCAACGACCGTATTCTGTAATGTGTTATAACGTTCTCGTTCCTTCAACATAATCCATCCTCCCCTATCATCTTAAAAAAAAGCCTTTCTTAATGCAAGTTGAACAGCTAATATATCAATTTAAATTGAATACCTCACGGTAACATTTTTTAAGAATACGGGTATGTGGGCTTAGTTTTGCCTACATTTAGATGACAGAACCTGGATAATTTAATAAACCACACCATTCCATTTTTATTCGACCGAAAAATTCTATTTCTTTCCTCTCTTTTAAACCAAATAAAATGTAAAAATGGTAAAAAGAGGAAAATATCAAGCATACAAAATTGATATTTAGAGATTTTTTTCGGTTTATTTTTTTGTGGTTATGTTTCGTTTTTCAAATAAAAACATCCATTAATGGGATGTGAAATGGAATCCTTTGATCATTTCAGGCTAGATAGCTTGGTTATTTTTAATCATTTTCAAAGAGATTTTTAGAAGTAATTTGAGCTTTTTTTTTGTTTGTTGGTAAATTTAACATTGGTTTATTTTTCAACGTCACGGCATGGAGGATAAAGTGCTTTGAAATATGAAATTTTAAAGGTGGAGATTGTGAGAATATTTAAATGAGATACTTTTACATTTAGCAATTGAATTGGATTTTTTTATTAACAATAAAGAACATCTCTAGTATTTGTTGTTTCAGACTATGTAAAGTATTCTCAATTTTATTTGATAGCCGATTATGTTAAGAATGACAGTACTTTGGAGTCGTTATAAAATGGTATCTTTGACTCAGCTTTAAGACCCTCTTCCCTCAAAAAGTTAGATATTAATTATGAATGACCATCAATGATACAACGGATCCAGCTTCTTCAGCTACTCGAGGTTTTTAACAACCTTTCTTTCATTTGAAACTTTAATTATTACTCTAATAACAATCATACAATTCAAGGCAGAAATAAGCAGGAGCATTAGCGATCAAGATTCCACGACATTTTGATCTCTTCCATAATGTTAATTTAAGTCAAACTTCTTGCTATTTTATCGAGGACAACTTTTAAAAAAATAATAATAATTCTACTTT